CTTCGGCTACCTCTACTCGACGCCCAAGACCGGCGTCCAACATGCACCAAGCCGCGTTCCACTACCTCAGGCCCGTGCTCTGCGCCTGCGTCTGCTTCAACGTCTGGCGAGTCCGGAACGATCGCGTCTTTCGCGCCGACCTACCGCTGCCAAGTCCATGGACGATTGCCGTCAAGGCGGCACGCGTCGCTCAACTGCACTTGCACCACAGCCTCGTACAAGAGCCTGAGCAGCCTGCTCTTCGTCGGCTTCTCCGCCTCCTCGCCCAACACGAGTGGCCGCGACGTCACCTCGTCCCGCGGATCGCGCTCCTGCCTCCGCCTGCCTAAATCAAGTCCCTCAACCGAGTACACACAACGAAGAAAGTCCGACAAATTTATTTAGCATAGTTTTTATCTATTGTAATAGACGACCCACTTCAACGACAACAACACAGCATCGGCCCCGAAATTATTGCTGAAGTTAGTATTACCGGTATGGTAAGCTGAGGTGACTGGAGCAAGGCTGAACTGTATTTGTACTCACCCTTGCTGGCGCGAGTAAACGTGAAAACATGTTTTACAAAATTGTGGTCAATTTAGAGTCCCCGTTTTGCCGTAAATCGAAAATTGACCTAACGTTGTACTGTACTACTCTGAACAACGCGAATATACGTCATCTCTATTCATCTATCTAGCTATCGAGCTATAACCAATTAGAGCATCTCCAGCGCGCCACCGCTATACTCGAGCTATAGCTAACCGCGTGATAACCACCCTTTCTCATGTTTTAGCGTGTGCTAAACGATGTGCTCCAATGGGAGTTGCAGCTATAGCTATCGCTATGGCTGTGGATTGACTGACAGTGGGAACAGGCCGCGTACGGGCGGGAGCGAAAACGCAGCGCGCGGAAGAGAAGGCTTTGCGCATGAACGAGAGAAGCGCAGGCTGCTCGGAGGGGCGTGGATGGAAGAGTGCGGTCTGGAAGCGCAGACAAGTTTAAGGCACAGTGTATGCGCGCCACCAGTCATTTACCT